TATATGTGAACCTGGAATTATTTTTCATGGAGCAGTGCAAGGAAGTTTTTAAAACTGCAGAAATCCCTTGTAAATCTTGAATCGCAACAGGGCTGTGTGCACTGATAATTTCATATACTTGTAGTTCTTAATGAAGGCTGAAGGTGAGTTAATCCTCAGCTGAAGCTGCAGGCTTCTATAAACCACAGCCCTCAGAATAAGAGATGAAAAGTCTTTGATTCTGAGTTTAAACTTTATCCAGAAAATGTTTCATAGCAGATGACCTCAGCTATTTTTGAGGAAGCACTCAAGTGTGCTTTTTCTTTTGCTGTGTCTGTAGCTGCCTGCACCTGTGATTGCCTGGCAGGTCCTCATGCCCTTTTTGCTCTGAAGAACTCATGTCAGAAATTTAGTATAGCTGCAATATCACAGCTTGTGTATCACATTTTCCAACTGACAGTTTTCTTCATCTTTCTGAAAGGGAAACTTCAGAAGATGTGCAGTGCCTTTACTCATTTAATGCTTTTCTTTGCTGTCTATCAAAAACCAGTGAGTTCCTGAGTTTACTGGAAACAAACATGCAGTAGCTCCTGCACTTTAAAACAGAATCAGAAATAGAAAATCATTATTTATGCTTTCAGAGTATCAGAGATCTGTTCTAAAATGTCATGCCCTAATCTAAATGTGTATGAGCTCATCTGTTCTGTTTGGATGCACATCTGTAGTTGCTTAAATATTTAGAAATTTTTAAAAACTAAGCAAATCATATGCAATGGACAACAATTTCTATTAAATGGTTAGGTATTTAAGGTATCTACAGCTTTTAAGGTGTTAAAGTATTATAGTTCAGAAAACTTAAAAATTAACTCCTAATTTCTGTTTGAACTATGGTTTATATGTTTTTATCCTTTGTAAAACTGACATTTTCTGGTTACATTGCACTCTTTTAATCCACTTATATATTTAGAAGAGTAGGTACTGGTCAGGGAAAACTTTAGTCTTTCTTTTTACTTGTATCAGTGCAGCCTGGGAGTCCAATATCTCCTACAAAGCTTTGCTTATTTCTGCCTATGTGGGACTGGCTACCTAAATACTGAAAACAGGCATATAATGAGGATGCCATTGTACATACTTCAAACAGGAGGAATGCTGGGAAGGAGAAAAAGAGGTGTAGGGGTTATTTACCATTTGGATTTTCCAGTTGCCACTTCTCCCTTCTCTGAATGGAGGTGAGGAGTGCCTTATGGTTTCTTCTCTGTGGACAATGTTAGGCTTGTTTCTCTACATCCACCTATGAGAAGAAGAAAGATGAGCTTTGTAGAGAAGACTGAAAATCCATGTTTTATTACTATACTGTAACCTAAATGTGAAAGGAGAGCTAATCCTTAATAAATCTTTGTAATGGTCAGGAGAGTTTTGGAGGTGCAGTGCATAACAGACAAGCAGTGTTGGGGCTGTGGGAGCACTTTTGGAGAGAGGGCAGTGGTGCTTACTGGTTAGCATGTGCTTGTTTTGGTAAGAGAAATATTTTCTCTCAGAGGACATGCTGTCCATGTGGGAATCTTTTAGCAATCACGATTTTTAATGCTGGTATTACAAAGAACAGTGATTGCTAACACTGTGTGTAAAAGAAGTGGTGCCTGAAATTAATAGGCAGGGAGCTCTTTCAGGAAGTATAAAAAGTAGATGAGTAACTGGGGAAAGAGGAGTGCTGTGAAGGAACAGGAAGGAAAGAGAATCATTTATCTCTACTTTGTAGATTACACTCCTTTCTAAGGACAGTTCCATTAAGGATGGAATGTGTTCAGAACACTCAGATAGCAGAAAAGATAGAGAAGTAATTTTTAGATAGAAATACTAGAGAATGGAACAGGTGATTATTTTCAGATGCTTATTTCTGTGGTGTCTGATGTCTGTACCGGTTTCAAGAGATGATGGTGTTATAATAAAACTTCCTATCACTTAAAGCTAGAACTGCAGATCATTTTATATTTGGTCGGTCTTCAAACAGATTGCAGTCCTCATCAGATACCCTCCAGTTTTCTTGTTTCTCTCTCTTTTGTTAATGCTTTGTGACTAGATTATCTGGTCTAATTATTTTTTGGACCAAGAGAAAAATATTTTGTTGTTCTGAGAAGCAAACTCCTGTGTTTAGTGTCAGAGTTAGAAATAAGGAAAATAATTAGGCAGAAATTGCCAGCTCTTCCTTCTTTTTCAAAATCCTCTTTTTTTTTTCTTCAGCTGGTGCTCTTTTGTATAAATGAAAAAGGTCCATCTTTATTGTTAGCAGCTCTGCACACCTGGAGATTTGACTGGGAACTTGTTCTCAGAAGAGATGTTTGAAGGACGTTACTCCATGGAAAGCTGTATCTCCCATAGCTGTTATTGCCATGCTCTTAGAATGAATTAAAAAATTCAGTATAACTTTTAATTGTGTCAATTGTTGTCATAATTCCAATTCAGCAGTGTGGAAGGCAGCTTTGTGGTTTTAAGTGGCTGAATCATATCACGTGGCCATGACTTTTAAGGTGCTGTCCAAGGGAGAGGAACAACTTACCTGGCGAAAGCTTATTAGGCTGGAAGGCAGTGTTCCCAGTGACAGCCTCTCCTTGTTATTTGCAGTCCTTGCTTGGCTGCTTGTTCGGAAACAGCCTCCATACCTTGAACTTGAGCATTTGGGAAAGGACAGGACTTCTTTCATGTGTGGAAATCTGATGAACAGTAGAAGTGTAAAATGCCAAGCTAGTCATATCTTCACTTGTTCTTATGTCAGCAAATCCCTAAAATGCCTCATCTTGAGAACACAGAAAACATCTCATTGAAACCTGTGACTAAATTTTTCCCAGAGCCGGGCATCCTGCCCAGATCCCTCCATGCTAAACTCCCATACAAAAGGGATAAAGACCATGAATCCAGAGAGGGCTGGGGGATTATTTGTCCAACAGACAGTCTCTATTCTCTACCTGGATATGAAGCCAGTGTTAACTTAACCCTGTGCTCTAGAGTGAAGGTTGGAACCCCCAGCCTTGCCCTGCTTTATGCTGCTAATTAAATGCTAGAAGAAAACAGTAACTCAAAAAGCTGCACTAGACAGAGAAAGGTTAATCCCATCTGAGTGAACACTTTAGTCATTCATCCATCAGTCTTGCTATGTGCAAATTGAGCCCTAAGTCTTTGGCCTTACTGCATAGTTGTTTTCCTTCTTTCACTTATAAATCTCTCTCAATTCCCATGTCTCTGAGGTTTTAGTTGCTAGGCTTACAACATGTTAGAGATACAGTCTATGATACTTGGGCTAGTAGAAAAGATAACTTAAAACAATTTTTCTGGTTTGGTAGCTCCTTAAATGGAAGATTTCACAGATGTCATTATTGGTATCTTATAGGCTGGATTTATTTTTTAGATCAGTCAATGAGCAGCACTTGGTCCATAAAAGCATTTTAGAGATGGTTTCAGGTTAACCAGCTGTGTTCAGAAGTAGATGTAGACCCACAAAAATCAGTAGAGGTTACACTGGCAATAAGAGATTCAGTGTCCATCTACTGCAAAGCTGGAAGAGAGCTGGGCAGGTTCGTTCACTGTGTTGATAAAATTTCAGTGGTATGAGCAGGTTTGTCCTAACATTCACCTTATGCCTTGTGGTGGCAAATTCAGCTCTGCACAAAATTATTTTCAGGTGATCATTTTGTTCAGACAACTGATTGTAAGGGAAGTTTATGTTCAAAATGCAGTGGGGTCAGGCCACCCTCCTTGTAAGGCTCTACAGGAAGGTAGGGCAGCTGAGAGCAACCTTGATACAACCTTGATTTAATCATCCCACGAATCCACAGAGGTCTGCTGTTTCAGGAAGCAGATGGAAAGACAAAACTGCAAATTAAATGTGAAACTGAGTGCTGATTCTCACTGTAAATTTTTTTCTGAATTTATGGCAAATGAGGAGCAGTGGAATAAGAAAATGATGCAATTCTAAGCAGTTACAGATGATGGGCTTTTCAGTGGAGGTACTTCTGTGATTCCTGGTGAGCATCTCCTGGTTACAAAGTGCTTGGTATGATTTTAATACACTTTCCCTGCTCCTCTGCAGGCCTCTACACCTGCTGAAGGCTGATCTTTTTAGAACTGAATTTAAAATATTCCTGCAAGACTTTGTACTTAAAAAACCTCTTACACAAAGTAGCAGGGCCTTTTATAAGGAGAGAGTGGTAATAAACTGCTATATGTTACAGGCCAGATTTTTAAAGGTATTTTAGTTCTATAGCAATGCAAATTGAAGCACTAGATGCTTTTGGAAATCCCACAAGACGCTTAACTGCGTAGATGCTTTAATGCATTTGTTCCTAGTGGTTTGCCTGAGGTTCAGTTAGTCACCACTAGAGAGTTGAAATGGGAAACTTTCTCTTTACTACTGTAGCCATTAATTATTTTTGCTTTCTTTTTGAGAAAGCAATAGGAAAATGTAGCTGTTTGTAGAATCCAATGGACTAGGGAAGTAATAGTAATGGTATAAATGATAGTTCAGCTTTTTTCTGAGGTGAGGTTTCCTGGAACCTCATGTTTATAACTGTAATGGATGAAGCTAAACTCTCACTGTTTGTCTCTGTAATCACCACGTGATTAAGCAAAATTATTTGCTACATCCTTTCTACAGTGTGCTTAAGGGAAGTCTTAGGTAGAAGGTCTTTAAAGAATTTGATCTCCTCAATGCATTTTGATAGTAAAAGCATGCTATTATTCCTTTTCTTCTGGTTGATCATAGTTCTTGTTGCAAACTTAATATCTGATTTGGGTGTTTAATGTTTCCAAGTTTGCATTCATTTTTCTCTATATCATCTCATTTGCTTACAAAACAGGGTGAGTATGAATTCCAGATGAAATTGGTTTTTTGTGTTTATAAAAAAAAGCAATAGAGTTTCTACAAGTAGCTTTTAACAGTTAAATCCTTTTACCCTGTTTTTTCATCATTACTGCATATTGTCATTTTACCGTTTTTCTCATTATATGCATTTGTTTCCATTATCCAGGATGCTGAGAAATTGGCCGGTGAAGAGCATGCCTGGAAAGAAGTCAAAGATGCTGTAAATGAAGTGAGATATCCAAAATCAAAAGAAGGTATCCTTTCAGTGACAAGCTACAGTGTGTCATTTAGTTGTGAAAAGATCCCACTAGTATGCAGTTCATCTCTTGAGATTAGTTTCCTTACATTTACATTCTTTTTATTTAAATTGTTTAAATTTATTTGATGTTTAAAATGTGTAAAATTCTTAATTGTATTAATAATAGAGTCTCTCATTACTTGGAATGGAACTGCTTTGTGGCAGGGATAGTAACTACCAAGGACATGAAGGGATATTTTGGCTCTGATTGGATTTCTGTTATCACAGCCCACTGCTATCACAGTCTACTTCTAAATGAAGTGGATTTCATTTATATGAAATCCACTTCATTTAGAAGTGGATTTCATATAAATCCACTTCTAAATGAAAGAAAGCTTAATTTGGAATGTTGTTAAACTCTTTGTTCCATTACTCTCAGTGTGAAGTTTACAGGTTCTCATTCTTTGCACAGCAATGACAATAACAAGGAAATAATCACAGACAGGTTTACAGCAGAAATTATAGCATCATTATAATAGGATATAATAATATATAATAATAATTGATAATTAAGCAAATTGAATGAAATGATCTTGCACTAATAAACAGAACTGGAGTCTAATGGCTGCCATGTAGATATTCAATCCAATTAAAGAAATTAGTGAACAGCAGCAACCAAGAAAAGATGAGCAGAAGAGAGCTGGGATTTTTACTAGAATACTATGGGTTTATTCATCTCTTTCTTATCTTGGTCTATTCAGTGGAATTTCCCTGACTGGGAATTTGGCCTGTTGTGGCAAGATGCCTTATCATTTTCAGAAACATGGGCTTTCTCTCAAGCTAGAAAGAATTAATCTTCCAGTACTCCTTTTTGGCAGCACAGAAAACAAGTTTGCGTAGTGATATTCCAGGCTGGAAACAAGTGATCACAATTTATACAGTAATAAAAAATCCAACCCATTACACTGAGTTTGTTTCTTTCTAATCTAGAGAGATTAATTTTTTTAGCAAAGGGGAAACAATCATCTCACCTTGTTTTAATCTCACATAGTTTCTAGTTTGTTTTAAGTTCTCTGTTGTCACTGGATTGAAACAGACAGTACTGAAATAGATCTTCAGGGCCCACATTTCAACCTGCATGTTAAATTATGGATATGCAACCTGAAGGTGCAATAGTTCTTATATTTAAACTGTGCAGTCAGAATACTGGTCCTATTTAATGTTTCTGTATTAAATTGCAGGAGAAATTGCATTAATGTATTTTGCAAATGTCTTTAATGAAGATTACTGATTTAACTCATACTTAAAAATTAATCAAACGCGTGGTAATAAAAGGCATCAGGACTGGCTGGAAAAATCTGTTCTTGTTGTCTGTTCAGCTTCTGTTCTCAGTCATGCACTATTTGAAACGTGTCATCTTTCCTTCCACTGCACCACACTACCCGTGTTAACTGACATGCAGTGGCGAGTGCAGTATTGGAGAGGGAACTTGACTTTTGTCCACTTGCCAATAATGAGTAGAAAACCTTCCTGGCAGACTGAGGCATGTAGTTATTAGCTCCTGAAAATGCCATTTTTTAAACTAATTAAACCAACACTTTCTACAGTTGAGAAAGCTGGTGACTCCCACACTCTGACTGTAACTGATGCGGTGTTAAAATGCAAATTTTACAGTTACAGCTGCTTGGGACAGTCCTCCTCTGCTCCTGGGCAGATGCAGGACATGCAGCTCCTTGGTACTGTTGCAGCTGATGGCAGGTTTTCTAGTTTGCAATTTTACTTACCTGAAAATTTGGTCCCAAGAGATTTTATTGTATAACACATCTACTATCTGATGTTGGTGAGTGCACAAAGTAGAATAATGAGAAGTAAAAGCAGACATACTGTGCACCAGCTAAAATGGTAATCTTTCAAGAATGTCAGTGGTTTGTACTTTCTACAAAAATTGTATCAAGTGGAAATAACATCCCTCATTCTTCTGGTTTTTTGTCCTTAATCAGTTGTAAAGAATACATGGATGTTTGCCAAAGATATAAAGGTTAAGGTGCAATTTTATAATAAGACATTCCTTCCCTTATATGGCTCTTTCAATCCAAGGACATGAGAGCAATTCACAAATAATTAGTTTAGCCTTGTAACAACCATGCTATAAATCCTGGAACATGGTGGTCGCATTCTTAAATTTAAGTATGTAAATATTCCCATGTTCAAGATGGACTAATTACTTCATCACAGGTTTGTAATTGTGCACTTTAAATTCATTACTGGATTAGTGTGAATAGTACTTGCAATAATTTGTGAAGATAACTGCTGGACTTCCTTGAGCTGATTGTGTGGAAAGGGCTATAATACAATTAATGTTATCACTTCTCTTGCTGTAAGTCTAATTTTTTTTCTTTATTTCATTTCTTCTTACTTATGTGAGTAGTATCTTTTTGGTGTTAAGACTTCTTGCATTCTGGGACTCCCATGGGTGTAATCACAGGTGGTAATACTCATTTGAAAACTGCAAGTTTTGGGGTTCAGATTAGGTGTTGTCAGAGAGAGAAAAATCTGGTCCACAGAGAAGTCAAATCAATGTAGAATGTAATGAAAAAAGTGATTTATGCTAATATCCAAATAAAGTGAGTGCAAGGTTATCTTTCCTGACAAAAGGAGGAGGTTGATATTCCAGCCTCACAAAAAATCTTGTAGCATTGGAGGTGAAAATCTCCTTTACTGCCAAGATCATTAGTCCTGGACTACAGTCAGACATCAAAATTGTGATTCTTTTCTTTCTCATGCATGAAATGTGCAGCTGTACATGACAAAAAATCATAATGCTCTTCATGAGTGTTTCAAGGAGAAAATTAATTTCAAGAAAAGGTTCTAATTTCATGAGAATGATAAAAAAGTATATGCAGCATAAAAGAATAAGTCATTATTTTATATAAATATATATATATATATAAATTTTTGAAAAAAGTTTTTAGCTGCTGGGACTTTTTAAAAGAAATTTCCATGGACTCTTGCCCTTGGCTTTAAGAACTGGAGTATCTTAAGTAAATAATGTTTCAGTACCTAAATAAAAGTTATTTGAATTTTTGTTATGTATTAAAATATCCTTGCCATTTTTCATCTTTCTTTTACCATTTATTGCTAAAATACTGCCTTCTTTAGAAATTGTTTTGCTACATGTAAATGAAGCACTGTTACCTAAGCTGCCACTTCAGCATTTAAGTATGTTTTCAAGAATTGTAGCAGAGCCTGGAATGATGTCAGCTTTTCTATTTTAATGCTTTGAGACTCTTACTCCTTGCTAAACAACACTTAGAAATTGTCGTTTTGCCTGAATAAATATATTTCTTTAACTAAGGCCAATAACAGAGTGGAAGCATGTTCTGGCAAGGTGCCAGGATCTCTTGAGCAACAACGAGGGTCATCTACCAGATACAAATATCTATCAGCTGAAAATGCTTGACTGTGCCATGGATGCCTGTATTAACCTTGAATCCTGGGAAGAAGCATTGTATTATGGCAGCAGGACTCTGGAACCATACAGGTAAGGGATGTAATTGGTTCAGCTGGTTCCAAAGAGAGGGGAGAGCTGGCTGTCTCATTACAAGTGAAGACTGTGCTTCGTCTTGATGCTCCTTACTGTTTTTACTTCTTGTGTGTGTCTTGCACTACTTTCTAGGTTAGTGAATGAGGCAGGATGCTTGTTCTGCTTTCACAGTCAGGCTGAAAGCAAATTAAACGATAACAGGAACTATAATAATAATAATAACTGATTATTATCTCCTTGCTTTTTCATTTGTTCAGATGATGCCCCGTCCCTGATCAGAAGCTGACTTTCTGTTTCAGGCTCTATTGACATGAGGGTATCAGTGTTTTGTGCTGAGACAGGGCAAAAGTGAGGGACAGGTGGCTGGTTGAAATAATGTGTATTCTCCATATACTCTGTGCATAGATTTTACAGAAAGAATAAAAAGTCTTGCAAAATGCAATATCAACTCAAAATTTAAAAGCTCCTGGTACTTATTTTGGGGGAGAGATCAAGGTGGTGAAGTACTTGCTTTTCTTCTCTCCTGATCAGTACTTGTTCTTGTGCTGTGTGCTGGGAGAGTTGCTGAGTCTGATGGTCTTTTGTTGATAAGGAAGGATAGTCTGGGAGTTCATATGTAATGTGAAAAGGCTTTAAGTTAATTGGAGCCTGGAGCTGTAAGGCAACTTTGGTCATCTAATAGAGAAAGGGTAGGTGCTTCTGCTTTGGTCAGTGTGCTAAGAGCTTTAGAAGACTCACATCTTTGGGTTCTGAGTAGCTGCATTGTTTGTAGCCAAGTGTAAGCCTGTGCTGAGTGTCCAGGTACAATGTCATTCACACATGAATGTTCATTCTCAGGAAGGTACTTTTTAGAGCATCCATTTCTTCTCTGTTGGTGCACCACGTGATGTTTCAATATCATGTGTGATGTTGAGAAGTGTGAGGGGTATGCTAGAGCTGAACAATATGCTCTGCTGTGAATATGAACATTTCAGATGCTACATATTTTCCTTAATCAAATGGAGATGCCATCAGCATTCAGTGTTTTGCCTGAGGAAATCCCATATGGCAGCCTGTTTCTGAATAAAACTCAGGGCTTCACTTGAGGAACATAGTGTTTCAGAGCTTTCACTAAAAAGTGATTGTTGATAAAACCTGCATAGGCTGTGATGCATCACAACTGTAGAGTAGCTCTGTGTTCATAATGACTATTCATTTTCATAGAGGAGGACATGAGTACCTAAAAATGTTCACATTTCTTCAGGGTGAAATTCACGCTGTACACATCCCACTTAACCTTTTATACAGGCTTATGTAGTACTGCAGCAGTACATGCTTCCTGCCAGTGTTCTACCTTGTGGCACACTTCAGATGAACAGAGTAGTCTGCGTGTTTAAATGTTCCTCTATTCAATAAAAAAACCCAAACCTCAGTTGCTTTGGGTTGGGTTTTTTATAAGTTGTTAACTCAGTTCTTCACAACTGAAAACAGCATTTTTTTTTCTACAGACATTTCTGAGAGCAGAGATTGCAGTGAGACCAAGTGCAATCTTACCAGATAATTTAATGAAGCTTTCTCTGTTTTGCTTGCTGAAATGTACCATAGTTTTCAAGCTGTTTCGTGCAGCAGTTTGGAGATGAAGGATTTGACTGTGCATCCAATTAGCATCTCTTAAGGTAATAATTATTTACATAAGATATTTGACCTTTTTTGCACCTTGGAGAGCTTGTCGCTATTCTCTCCTCACCCAAAAACATTATTTAAGAGAGACTTTCAGTTGTTTCTTTTTCTTTATACTTTGAAGTCATCACTACAAGCTTTGACACACCTGCAACAAAATCCTCAGTTTCTCATTACAACAAATTGTGCCCTAAGCAGCAGGAGAGCAAATCCTAGGAAATCCTTTGGGATACATTGAATTTCTCCTGTTGAATCAATCTACTGCTTGGCTGCTCCTGCAGTTCCATTATAGCTACCTATTTTCCTTTCCTCAGCTCTGGAAAAAGTATTCATACAGATCTCCACAGGGAATCACCTGAGAATTCGCGCAGTCCATATAAATAGGAAATCATTGTTACAACTTTAAAGGCTCTGGAGATTTGGTCAGAACCAGTTTTAATTTCAGGTAATGTGTTTATTGTGCATTTTCCATTTCTTTAGCAGCAGGATTAATTTTCAGTGCTGTGTGACACATTGTATCATAATGTATGTTTTCATTATGATGGTTGCCAACTTTTTCAGAATCATCCACTTCATGTAAGCGGCAGAGATAGATCTATACTGCATTAAACTGATTTTTCTTGCTGGATACCAGGCCCTGTGTTTTAGGTAGCAATAATCAATAAGGAGCATTGTTCAGGACCTCTGAAATAGTTTGACAGAAAATAAAGGAAGAGGTAGTGTCTGCCAAGACGAAAAGCTGCCTTCTCCTCTTGTGCCGAACTGTAGCCATCCATTTTTTGTTAAAATCTACAGTGTGTACTTTCACTGAATAGCCCAAGCCAAGTGTATCTACACAGCTTTTCTTGTAAATGCCCCATTAATAGCCTGTCTGTCCAAGAGCCTTAACCAAAGTTAAGACATTTGCCTAAGTGAAAGCTGCCCCATGTCATAGTCAGCGCTCAGCAGCTTGCAAAAATAAACTTCCTTTCAAAAATCCTCAAGAGCCTTAACCACAGAATAACAGAGTATCAGCAAGAGGTGTTACATGGGTTTGTCATGTCTCAGTTAGCACATTCACACTCTGGTCTGACTGCTGCCCGTGAAGGATCAGATTCAGAGATACTGAGAAAGACAGATTTCCCTTAGGTTACCTCAGAGGAAGGACCCAGCATTTAGCCCTTAAATTACTGACAAGGCACATATGTTCTGGGGATTATGTTTGGGGTATATTTTCCCTTGTCTCAAGTATTCAGTGCTTTACACTGCTGCCAGAGAGTGGAAAAATGCATCTGTTATAAAACTCTGCTAGATATCCTCAGCTATTGTGACAAGGGTCAGAGGAGGAAAAGAAGTAACTGTGTGACACCACAGGCCTGCTGGGCTTACCTGCTGGATAACACCATGTCACCTCTCTGGGCTCATGGGACATCAGGTCTGGTGAGATTCTGAGACAGAGACAACAAAAATGTTCATCGATTTCTGCTCTGCACTGATTATAATCCCCTGCTGAATTTCAAGCTAATGTAGAAATCCCACTGATTTTCAGATGGGTTGTTTTAATTGAAAACCCTTCATCTGCAGTGCTGCAGCATTAGAGGTAAGTGGAGGGCTTAGTATACAAGAGAAAATTCCTTCTTTTCATCCCGTGCAGAAGTGTTGAGCAGGAGTGCTGCTCTGGCTCTTCACCCAGCAGCCTTGCACGTCCTTCCCCCTCCAGCCCCTCTCCTGAGTCAGCACAAATGCAGGGCTGGTGCAATGTGACTGCTCTGCTTCTGCAGGGAGCTGGGTAGTGGAAGCACCCCATATTTGTGTTATCTGTGCATCATTTGTCTGCCCTTCTACCTCCTCCTACTCTATCCCTTCCAGTAATATTTTGTAGTACCCCATTACTTCACCTTTTGTCAGTGACTGGGTTCATTTAGGCAACAGAGAAAGCAATCCCAGTGAGTGCAATTTTGGATTGTTCTGCAAAGGGCTGGGTTTAAGAACAGTGGCTGGTATGTGTTCTTGTTTTTTTCTGAGAACATGGTTGAATTTTCATTAGGTTAATGAAATACCAGCCAGGAATTTTTTATTTAGAATTCTAATTCAATATGTATGATGGTCTGTGTTTTCTAACTATGTGAACTTCAATCAAAAGGCAGATTAAAAATTGATGGTTGCTATAGTATCCTTTTCTTGAATCATGATCTTGTAAAAAAGCCAAAAAAAGCTGTAGAACTTAATATTCTTGGAACAAAATCTAAACTTATTTTCTCCTCTTCAAGAAGGATTTCCAGTAAAGAGTCTGACTTTCTTTTGGTCTGATTTTCCCCCCTTTTTGAATGCATTTAGAAAAAAACCCATTTTTACAGCTATGTGTTTTGCAATACACATGTGATACATGCAATAACTGGAAATATTTTTTTAATCAAATATCTTTGCTTCTTTATTGAGCTCAACAGACTTCTGTGTACTGGCTAGTTCTAAGGTACTTGAATTGAATTTGTATTTACATTGAAAGCTGGAGAGCCGAAAAATATCCCCAAAACTGCACTGCAGTGATAACCAGGGCCACTGGGGGATGCTACTGCTTAAGGGTTACAGCCCGGACTCGTCGCCAGTCGGCACCCTGGTTATGGAAGGTCCCCCGGGGGTTCGTGCCTGGCTGCCGCATTTCTGAACCTAGAGACAGTACTAATTCCGTGACCAAAGTTCAATGTCTTAATCATAAACCATCAGTTGTAAACATAAATCTTACCTCTGGGATCACCCGAGAGGGAGAGAAAAATGTCAAGGTGGAGAAAGCAATTTAAAGAAATAATGAAACAAAGAGCGGAAAGAACTAAATCTTCCTTATTCACTTTGCTGGGGGTTTTGGAAAATGCCCATGGCATTTAATGTTTAAAGAAAAATGTGTAAAAAGAAGAGGAAAACCCAGTATAAATAAGACAGTGTATTGTCTCTGGTTAATTATAGGTAATTCTTCCAAAAGACAGATGTTTGTAGCAATATTTACACCATTTTTGGCTTCAGTGTACCTTATTTTGTCCATACACATACAGGGATAATGCTTGTCACTGAGCTGATATGTTTAGTAATCCATTGAAACACTTCAGCAACCCACTTCTGTCTTCCATTCCTCCCTACTTCCTGCCTGCCAGTCCCAACAGCATTTTCCAAAAAATGAAAAAAAGAGGTTTTACATTTGAAGTCTGGTGCCTAAGTTATCCATGACCTGATCAATCCCTTTCCCATGTAGGAAATGAATTTTCTGTTTTTCTGGTTGCTTGCTCTGTATGTCTGCATAGCACCATCACCTTCAATTCTTTGGCTCTTTCCTAGTTTTCTTTTTCTTGTATGTTTCCATTACAACC